GCTGTGCCGGCGGCTGGGAGGATAGCGTGCCCCTCTACTGCATCCGCAGGAAACCACAAGCCGAGCCACGAGGGCCACAGGCTGAGCTACGGGAGCAGCGAGCCGGGCTAAGAACCACCAGCTGAGCCACCAGGGCCTGCAGCTGAGCCACGAGTTCCAGAACCCGAGCCGATCGGGCCACGAGCTGAGCTACGAGGGCAACCGCCTGAGTCGCGGTGCGGCAGGAGGAAGGGATCAGAACAGGGTCTGGAAGAAAGGAAGGAGGAGGGGTGGACTGCTGCTCCTCTTCCTCCCCCTCCCCCTCCCCTTCCTCCCCCTCCCCTTCCTCCCCCTCCCCTTCCTCCCCCTCATCCTCCCCCTCCTCTCCCCCTCCTCTTCCTCCTCCTCCAGTCCTCCCCCTCCTCCTCCTACTCCCGTCCTCCTCCCTCACCCCTCCCACTGCCACCTCTCCCATTTCCTCCCTCCTCCATCTCCTCCTCCTCTCTTCCTCCTCTCCTCCTCTCTCGCTCCTCCTCCTCCTCCTCCTCCTCCGCCTCCTCCTCCTCCTCCTCACCCCTCCCCTCCTACCTCCTCCTCCTCCTCCTCTCCTCCTCCTCCTCCTCCTCCTCCTCCCTTCCCTCCTCCCTTCCCTCCTCCTCCCTTCCCTCCTCCTCCTCCCTTTCCTCCGCCGGGAAAGGGGAAATACTTCTCCTTTTTGGGAGACCCTAGCGGCCATCCTACACGAAAGTGTCCACCAGATGGAGAGTGCACAGAGGGACGCGGGCGTGTGGTACGGTATGCGTTGGTTTGGCTTAGCAGCGAATGCGAGGGCCCAAACCTTACATCCTCTGATCCCTCCTCCTCTGTCCTCGTCCTCCTCGTCCATTCCTTCTCCCCCTCATCCAGGGAGGGTGCGTGGCAACCGACCCTGCGCGGCTGGAATCCCGCAGAGCATCACACGTCATGATCGCTTCTCGCGCGTCGCCCCGCAATCAGGCGATACACCGGACTCACTTCTATAGCGCTCACTTCTATAGTGCTCACTTTGAAATTGTGGTCCAGAAGGGGCCGCACATGCAGGCACATGCCGCACAGTCGCACGCACATGCCCACGCAAATATATAAAAGCCTTAACGGCATTGCCGCACATGCGCGCACATGCCACACCGTCCGACGCACACTCGAATGCACGGTCAAGCAAAACTCTGAAAGCATAGACGCACATGCCAGCAAATGCAGCAGAGATGTCGCAGGCGATAGTGGGCATTTCGCAACCCAGAGTTGCGAGGATGTCTCAGGCAAGCGTGGCCGGACCACCATGGGGCAAGGCATCACCGCACGTGCGTGCACACCGTCCGACGCACATGTGCGCCCGCGCGCTTCACCGCATGTGCGTGCATGTGCGGGCCCGCGCGGCCTCCCGAAGAGAGGTTGCACAGGCATGTGCGTGCATGTGCCGATGACAGATCTGCGATTCTCGAACACCTCCCGCAAGTGCAGGCATGTGCGCGCATGTGCGTCGGACTGTGCGTGCATGTGCGTATGATGGATACACCAAAACACAGCGCACATGCCCGGGCACGACGTGCACAGTAGGAAATCCATCCAAGAAGGGCCGCACAGGCCTGGCACATGACTGGCATATGCCGCGCACATGCGCGCACATGACAGCGCAAAAACGGCCGCACATACACCCACCCAGGGGTATAGATGTGAGTGCGGCGTAGGAGACCCAGGATCCGTGCTGTCGTCCCCCCAGGGCTATCCCAGCAGGAGGAGGAGGAGGAGGAGGAGGAGGAGGAGGAGGCGGAGGGGGAGAGAGGGAGGGAGGGAGGGAAAGAGGGAAGGGGAAGGCGCCCGATCTACTTCGCGGGTCGCGCCCCGCGGTGTGCGACGCGCCCTCGCGAGGCCGCCTTTGAGAAGGGCAGCTGTCCGGCCCGGGCTGCGACCTGCGAGGCGCGATCCCCTTCGCGCCCCCCGCGGGTGGCCTGGCCAGCCCCGCCCCTGCCGCCGCCGAGAGCTCTGCCTCCCGAGTGACGAGCGAACAGCTCACACCCATACCCATAGGAGGGTCGAAAGGAGGGGAACTGGCCATGGGTATGGGTGCGAGCTGTCGGACCCTGGGGGAAGCCCCCGCTCGAGCGGGGGCACCCATCCGACAACACGCACCCATAGCCTCCTCCGTTCCCCCCTATGGGTATGGGTGCGTGTTGTTCGATCGTCACTGAAGGGCTCAACGACTTCTGCCGTCCCTCGACTCGCCCTGGAGGGGCCACGATTCGCTCCAAACGATCCCGGCGATCTTTCTTTGGATGCACCTGGATCCTTGCCGTCGCTCGGACGTCCATTTCCCGTGCGCCTTCCGGTTTCGTGCGTGCTTTTGTTGCTCGAGGGCCCGGGATGCTCCTCCAGGGCCCCTCGCCGGGAAAACAAGGCACGCGTCCGAGCGATGCCAGGGATCAGCCGAGATCTGCCTGCACGTACCTCGATGTGTCCGGCTGCATCCCCCCACACACCGACTGCCCGACTGCCGAGGCGTCGTCAAGCCCTCGGAGGGGCCCAGCGCGTGCCCAACGTTCTGTCGGGCCTGTCCCCCTACAGGGGGATTTTCGACGAAAGAGGAAGAGTACCCCCAAAATGCCCCAAAAAGGTCAAAACATATCCAAGCAATAATCCACAGACTATGTTTGGACAGCTTTTGGACTATTTTTGGGGGGTACTTCTTTATTTCTCGTCGAAAATCCCCCTGCAGGGGGACAGGCCCGACTTCAGCCCAGCGCGGCGCCTCACCAGCCGCAGCGGCGGCCCATCGCAGCACCAGCGCGGGCCTGTGCCGGACGGCCGAGGTCGGCAGCCGAGAGGCTCGGCTCTCCCCCTGCCGCTGCTGCTGCTGCTGCTGCTGCTGCTGCTGCTGCTGCTACTGCTGCTCCTGCCCCTGCTGCTGCTCCTGCCCCTGCTGCTCCTCCTCCTCCTCCTCCTCCTCCTCCTCCTCCTCCTCCTCCTGCTGCTCCTGCATCTCCTGCTGCTCCTCCTGCTGCTGCTCCTCCTCCTCCTCCTCCTCCTGCCCTTCCTCCTGCTCCTCCTGCTGCTCCTCCTGCTGCTCCTGCAACTCGTCTTAAAAATTTGCAGCAGTGCCTCGGATCGAGGGCCGGTGGTTTTCAAACTGTGGCCAATGTCTTAGCACCGCGCACAGCCGTATTGAGACATGTGCAACAGACTGTTTCAAGGCTTCGTATGGTCGAAGTCCCAGGAATGGGGTTCTGGAGCCAGTGCGAATTGTCAGGACGCCGCAGTCACGTTGATTCGCGGTGTTGAAATCACGGGAACGGTCTTCTGGCAGGATTGAGGACTGTCAGGGCGCAACAGTTACGTTCATTCGCGGCGTTGAAGTCCCAGGAGCAGTGCACTGGTAGGACTGAGGAATTTCAGACGACTGTTTTCTTATGGCCCACTCCGCAATGAACATGGATTCCTTTTAGAACATATGAACAAGAAACTTGGAAAGAAAATTTATTGCAGCAACGACGGTGCGTCTGGGGTTTACGTGCTCGCCTTCGCGCCCTCGCGCCGCCGCCCTGATGAAAGGCGCCTCTCCAACCCAAGCCGCGATGCGCGAACCGCGAGTACATTCGCGCCACCACGGGCGACCTGGGACATGCCACTCCACCGACCCTGTCAGCATCTGCGAGGGGCTATTCTTTCCGCGACTGATCCCTCCCCTCCCCGCGAACACCTTGGGACCCCCTCCTACAGTCAAAACTGAAAGTAAGGATGTGCGATGCAGTCGATTCGTTTCCTAGGGACGCACGATAAGGATGCAAGGCCCCTGAAGGCCATGTCGACACTCTGCGAGCGAGGCGCGGCCAGCGAACGCGGCCGAGGATGGGCCGACGGGGAACGATGCAATGGTTATGTTGCATCCTCGGGGGACCTTGTCTGTCCCGTCGCGGCCCTGTCCGCGTCGAATCCGTGTCGAACCCATGTCGGACGCGTCGGATCCGTGTCGAATCCGTGTCGAATCCGCGTCGAATCCACGCCAAATCCGCGTCGAGTCCGCATCGAGCACGCGTCGGGCCCCCCAAAAAGACACCAATTTTGGGGACAGGCGAGGTCCCCCGAAGATGCAACAGAACAAGGGGTAGCCCTGGAAAGTTGCTCATCCTCACTATGCCGGTCCACCGCGAGGATGCAAGACGTTCCTTGGACGCCCATGTCGAGGCGTCCCGAGCGGGGCGGGCCGTCGACGCTGGTGCAGGACGCACCAGAGAGGCAGGGATGCGAGGGCACCCCTGCGAAGGTTGCCCATCCTGAAAAGGCGTCGCATTACGTCGAGCAAGCGCAAGGAACCGAGCCCCCCCGTGGAGCCCCGTTCCTTAGACTGTCCGCCCCGACCGAAAAAACGAACCCGCGCGTCCAAAATCGTGAGGAACACCGGGGGGGCTCACCGCCAAAAGGGTAGCGGAACGCATGCAAACCTAAGGAACGACCGAGCCCTTTTTGAAAAGTAAGTGTTCCTTACTCAAGGCTTTCACTGTAGGACCCCTCCTCGGGGCGCGCCCTTCGTCGGAGCCCCTCCCCGCCGGCTGGGAGAAGGGGCTTCAGGGGGATCGGCGCGCATGCGCGTGGGCGGGTGGGAGGGGGGAATCCACTGAGAATCTTGCAGACACTCGGGAAACGTGGGCGATCTCGGAACGACCTTGTCAATCTCAGGGCCCCATCGGGCAATGGTTTGGGGGGCATCTCGAGACAACTTCGAGCCACATGGAAGCAGTTCTGGCCACGCTCCTCACCGGGGCCTGCTTCTCCCAACTTGGGGCCACATTGTGCGAAGAGGGCAGCAAACGCGCATCGATGGGTGACGCGCTGAGGGGAGAAGGGAGACGGGGCAGGCCTTCTCAGAAAGCGGCGGGGCTTCTCATGCGCCCTCAGGCCTTCCGAGAAGCCCTCCGTGGCGTCGGAGAAGACTCAGAAAGCTTCTCAGTAGGCCGGAGGCCTCCCGAGCCTGCCGAGGAAGCCCGCTCCCCCTGTCTTCCCCCCTGGGCGCGCCGCCGATTACTGCTTCGCCCAGTCTCGGCGGAACTGGCCGTGAGGCCTCCGTCCCCTGGACCAGGGGGGGGCGGGGGCGTTCGGCATCGTGTATCTGGATCCCTGGAGGCGGAGAAGCTGTCATTCGCCTCGCCGCGACCCGCCATGACTGGTCACTGCACCAAAGCCTGTACAATCTACGGGCTTGGAAAAATGGCCGCCGTCCCGCCGATATGGCTGTCCAGACGCTGTCGGGGCCCTGCGAAGAAGCCCGGGCGACTCTGCGCAGGAGCTGCGCACGAGCCCGGGAGGCGCCTCCCAGGAGCCGCCCAGGAGCTGCGCGCGAGCCTGGGGGGCGCCGCCTGGGAGCTCGCGGCAGCGCGCTTCAACAGGTGCTGTTGACCACGCCCGGCTGGTCGCGCCCGCTACCCATCGCGCCCCGCTGCGCAGTCAAGTTCCCCTGCCGCACAGCATGCTGCAGTGCGCTGCCGAAGCCAAACGTCGATGCCTGGATCTGTACCCGACCCCTCCCAGGAGAACGCGGGAGAGGATGGCGCGGTGCGGGAGGGGAATGGGAAGAGGAGGTCTCCATCAAGGGTGACCCGCTCGTAAGCAGCAGGCGCGTCAACCCTCAAGGAGGCGCAAATCGTTCGAATCCTCTTCCTTCCTCAGAGCCAGCTCTCCTGCCTGTCCGACAGTCTGGAGCGCAGTTCGACCACGATGTCGAGGCGAATGCGGCCGTGCCGACGAAGGCCCCCCTGAGGATCTCCCCTCCAGAACTTGAACAGATTCCTCCCCCTCTCTCTCCTCCTCCTCCTCCTCTCCTCCTCCTCCCCCTCTCCTTTTCCTCCTCCCCCTTCTCCTTTTCGTCCTCCTCCTCCTCCTCCTCCTCCTCCTCCTCCTCCTCCTCCTTCTCCTCGTCCATTCCTTTTCCTTATAGATAACTCCTCCCTGTCGCACCCCGAGGCAGGTCGAAAGGGCGGGTCGGGCGTTTCGCCTGAGACTTCCTCACCACGTATGACCCTGATGCTCAAAAACTGGCAACTGTTTCACACATGGAAGGCGGGTCGCTCCCAAATAGTGGCGTTCGCCTCACCGCGAAGCACATGTTTTAACATTTGCAAGAGCTTCACGGATTGAGGGCGGGTCGTTTTCACAATGTGGCTCTCGCCTTACCGCCGCGCACATTCGTTTTCAAGCTTTCCAAGAATTTCACGGATTGAAGGCAAATCGTTTTCAAAATGTGTGTGTTTTCGCCTTCGCGCCGCGCGCATTCGTTGATCAAAACTTGCAAGAACTTCGCGGATTGAGGGCGGCTCGTTTCCTGGTTTTCGCCTTACCGCCGCGAGTAGTCGTTTGAACAGATTGCGAAGAGCTTCGCGGATTGAGGGCGGCTGGTTTTCAAACTGTGGCTCTCGCCGAAACGTCGCGCACAAGCGTTGAAACCATGTGTAAGAACTTCACGGATTGCGGGCGAGTCCTTTCCAACATGTGGTTCTCGCCTTAGCGCCGCGCACATCCATTGAATCAGATTGCAAGGGCTTCACGGATTGAGGGCGGGTCGTTTCCAAAATGTGGTTCTCGCCTTAGCGCCGCGCACACTCGTGTTAAACATTGGCAAGAATGCCACTGATTTCCATGGTTAACGTACCAGAAATGGCGTTCTGGAGCGACTCAGGACAGTCAGGGCGCAACAGTTACGTTGATTCGCGGTGTCGAAGTTCCAGGAACTGACTTCTGGCACGATCCAGGATCGCCAAGACGTAACGATGAGGTTAACTCGCGGCGTTGAAATCCTGAAAATGGTGTTTTGGCACGCTTCCAGATGTGCACACGGTTGTTCCCAGACGGGGCGATTCCCTCAACGGCAACGACCCCTATGTAGGGGCCTGCGAGGAGGGATCTTGGAGGGAGGGTGTATTTCAACATTGTTGATGAGTCTTGGGTTTACACTGGTCTTCCTCCACCCCGTCCTCCTCCTCCTCCTCCTCCTCCTCCTCCTCCTCCTCCTCCTCCTCCTCCTCCTCCTCCCACGCATCATTATCTCTGAGACAACGCGTATTACGGGCGCTGGCGTTGGGAACATTCGGCGCCGCGTTTCGAACAGGGGGGTGGGCCCCCCCCAACACTCGGCGCCGTCGATCAAAACCACGGGGGCTCCCATACCCCCAAACTCCCCCTGCCCCGACCCCCCCCTCCTCCCAAGGGGGGGGGTTCAAACCACCGAGAAAGCGTGATCCACCGCCGCTTTACTGTGGAAAATTGCCGCCTTTTTCCTCCTGGAAACCCCGGCGTCCCCCCCCCCCCCACACCCCCGAAAATTCCCCCCGCCCCCCGTCTAAACCGACCCCCCCCTCCCTCCCCCCGCTTCCCCCGCACTTCCTCCCCCTTCCAAGTCCCGTTTCCGACCTCCCGTTTTCCCCTCCCTCGCCACCCCCCCTTGCCCCTAAAACCGCTCCCCCTCCCCCCTCAAGCTCGAAAACCGGGGGGGGTCACTACCGGTTCGAACCCCCCCCCCCCTTCGAAAACCAGAGGGGGGGTCACTACCGGTTCGAACCACTGAGCTGTCCCACTGTTCCCACCACTGTCCCCACTGTCCCCACCACTGTCCCCACTGCACCTCTGTCCCATTGTCCCACCGCCGTCCTCGCCACCGCCTTCACCACTGTCCCCACCACTGTACCCTCCAATGTCCTTGTTTCCACCACATTCCCACTGTCCCCACACCACTGTCCCCCACCACCACCGTCCCCACCACTGTCCCACTGTCCCCACTGTTCCCACCATTGTCCTCACCATTGTCCCCACCACTACCGTCCCCACCGCTGTCCCACTGTCCCCACCACTGTCCCGCTGTCCCCTCACCACCTGAAGGCCCTGCGTAGTTAGTAACAGTTAGCGGAACTTCTAATTGTTATTAACGGAGTTATAACTAGTTAGGTTTGGCCAGTTTGAAGCTGTTGTTTAATGTTTATGTTATGTTTTTGCATCTCATGTAGTTGGAAATTGGGGCATCATGATTGGGCGCTTCGTCGATTTGGATCTGCTCAGGGGCCTTCAGATGTTTTTTAATCGTCCTGGGGCAAACGCGACGGTCCGCAGCGCATCATGCTAGCAACATCGCGATGTGGATTCTACTGGCCAAATGCACGTGATGTCGTTCTCTATTTTCCTGTAAATCACAGGAGCTTTCAGCGAGGTCAGAGGCATCAGAACAGGGTCTGTATCATCTAAAAAGATGTGTCTGGAAAAACCTTCAGCGGCGTTCACATGCTTAGTTGCAAGCTGCTGGACAAGCACCTGCGACTCGCCATCGTCGCATTTCACGTGAAACCACACTTGCATTGCTGCATGCATCCCGCCCGACCCCAGAAGTACGATATCACCGCGCTTGATGCGGCCGAAATCTGTCATGGCTTCGATGCTGGAGACGGCTGTCTGCGTCCCAGGGCACATGCGTTTCAACGCATTCAGCAGCTTCTGTGTTGCTTTCGTTGGGTCGACTAAGCCAGGTGAAACACGCATGGTCTTTAAATCGTGCGCGTGCTGCGCAGTGAGTTGGACCATGAGAGCCTTCTCTGGCCCCTTCTTGCACATGTGGTCTTTGGCGAAACGTTTTACGTTTTTTGTGCTTGCGTTCCTGGACAAAGCAACTGAGCGACCCATGTTTTTTCAAACATTTCTGGCAAATGGGTTGCCATATGGTGCTTATACACCCAATAGCTTTCACCATATGCGTCCTGATGGCACCGAAGATGTTTCACTATCGCTGACTCTATCTGCGCGGTCGTGACTGGAAGCCGCCGCGCCGCCGCGATGATTATGTCAACGGCATCTTGCAATGCCAGCATACTTGCGATCTGGGGGGCCACTTGATCCGATGAAGGATGCTTGGCAATTACTTGCCGAATATACCTGCACAAAACAGGCAACGCAGAGATCTCTTCTGAGGCACCTGCTTGGAGCTCACCAGTCTCCCATACAGTTGCGGCTGAGTGGTGTTTACTCGGCCACGTCCACTTCATGAAATACTCATGCAACTCCCTTGCATCACACAAACACTTGAACTGCGCATGCCCTAAAAGTGCTTTTACTTCTCTGTCGAATATACCAGACACAAAATAAATATGCATCCAGTCAAAGCAAATGAATGACGCAGGGAGATATCGCAAACCTGGGTCCAGCGCTATGTGTTCGGGGTGGAAGTTCCATCCTTTGTGCTGTGTGATGGTCGTGTACTGCCCCTCTGAAAACTCCCCCCGCTGATATTTATCCCAATCGGGTCGAAGTCGTTCCAGGATCGCGATGATTGTCGCGTCATCGTTTCTGCGTATCTTTGACGCATCCAAGCACGCGTCTGTCGCAAAGAAACCAGATACATCATAGGTCAAATAATCAAACTTTTTACTCAAGACGTTGCGACATAACGCACAGGGTTTGGAACCAGCGTGCCCTTTGTTCATGTGTAGTTCCCGCAATGCCTCTTCGTCCCCTATGACGCACGACAGCTTCGCGACGATCGTCGCGTGCGACGTTGCGTCGCCGTTCTCTGACACGTCTAATGTAACACCGCTCGTCTCAAAATTGAAACCACCAGCAGAATTAAACCAAACTTCTTTGAGGATCATCTTGATGCACTGCCCGATGCCACCTGGGATGCTTTCTATTTTTGCGCACCGCGCAGTGCTAAGCGTGAACCACGCATCTTCGTTACCCAAGGACTCGTCGAACTCAGCGAACGACCAGTAAACAGCATCACCCCCCCGATGATCTTTTCCCTTCGCCAGGGGTCTCGCGGTGAAATACCATCGAATATAAAATGATGTGCCACGGCGACGCCAGGCTGCATGGGTGCTCCTGAAGTGAGCGGCGAAACATCTCCCTGACTGGAGCGCTAGCCTTGCAGCAGGAATACAAAAATGGCCCAGGACAGCACACCCAGTTCTCGAAAGTTCTACCACTGACTAAAGGCGTGTCTATGCAACGCAAGACGTTCCCATATGCGTTCGACTCTTTGGCAATGATGTTTTCGTTTGCCCTGTATTGTGAGCTCCGTGAAATATTGTCGGGCAACCCATGGTCTCGCACATATTTTAGGACACCCGACAGAGCACGCTGTGACAGGTATGAGCCCCTGTGGAGCTCCACCAGCGCCTCATCCGCCTTGCGTTTCCTGGCGGCGGACGCGGCCATGGTTTCAGCCCAAATGGCTACAGACTCGATAACGATGCCAATGCGCATCATAGGATGCATGCGTCGCGTTATGGTAGGGGCACGCTGCATGATGCATCTGAATGCAGCGAGGCGATAGATCACAACAGAAGTGCACGTTGCATATCGATGCATATGGCATGATACGACGTCGCATCAGAAGGACATGTAGGTGCAGATTGATGCATACGAAGTGCGACGGTAGCTCGCAACAGAAAGGAGTGTTGCATATTGATGCATGCGACTTGCGATGAAAAGATCGCAACAGACTTGTGTTTTAGACATCATGGTGCAACGTCATACAAGCAAGAGAGAG